CCTCAGTCGGCCATTGAGGGCCCTGGAAAGCCCGCCATGGCCATGGAAGCCGCAGAAGAAAATTCCTGGCCATCATCCTCACTTTCAGACATCACATTCCTTTGTCTAGGTTGGACCTCGGGTGGATGAACCCCAGAGGAAATGGCCTGGAAGACTGGGCCTGTTGTTGTTGGGCCTTGGAAAATTGTTTTTCCAAGGCCTTCTGGGGTCTCAAAGCACCCTATCTAGGCCCGAACCTTGCTTGGTCCCCTGCCTGGAATAGGGCTTCCTTGCTCTAATTGCCTCCCTGGCTGCCTTGCCAGCTTGTCTGGTACAGGCCCGGCTGGTGGATGGGCCTGACTGTGGCTCCTCAGGGGCCTGTTCTGCCATGGCTAGGTGTGGGAATGCAAGGGCCAAATTTAGGACTTCCCCCCACTCACCACCTTACAGTTGGGAAGGTGCCTTAGCGCTCTAGCGAAGAGACACTGAAGACAGGGAAGGCAAGGCTCAGCAGTCCTTGATGGCAATGAGCAGATCAGTGCAAGCTCTGAAGCCCCCAGCACCCACGCAGGTCAAATGCTGTGGAGTGTGACCTCGTAGGGCCACAAGCCTCTGCCACCCACTGCAGAGTTGCATTGGTTAATGAAGAAAAAATCTGCCGGAATGACCGGTCAGGAAGGCTCCTGGCAGTGACCTGCAAGAGATAGGCCATCAGGTAGCTGCAGCAATTTTTGCAGCAAAAACTAGGTCAAACAAAATGGCGGCTGTCACTTTTGTCCTTCTCAAAATGGCCACCGCAATGTGCGACCTCCTTAAAATGGCCACCCGCACTCGCTGGAGAGCCCTGAGGCTCCTCACAAACCGCTGGCTCCCTTAGAAACACAGTCGGAAGCAGCAAAGGTTTCAGCAGGGAGAAAGATCGCAGCGGGATTGCTGCGATCGTCCTAGCATTGGCACTCCGACCCATGCACCTCCACCAACAGCTGCCTGCAGTGTCACAGCGTCCAAGCGAGCCCAGGACACCAGAGAGGCTGAAAGTGGTGAATTCCAGGGAATTAGGGGGAAACAACTCACCAACTCACCTGCTCACAACGATCCAAGTAGAAGGAAAGGAAAAAAATTTAAAAGGTGAAAGGAACAGAGAGTCCAAGCAATTTATAGGAATGAAGAGAAAGGGCTGACTGAATTGAAAAAAATCAGAAGATTAGTCAGCACCAGAGGCATGGCTTAAAAGTTTCAATTCAGTCCTGGGTAGATTGGCTGCATTTAACCCATGCTTGGAATCTCCAAGCAGCACCCAGAAAAAGACACAAGAGCAGACTTGCCATGACTAGGAAATGACTAATGTTCTTCCTTTCCTATCTATACAAATCAAGCTATAGCTTAACTGGCATAAACATTATTTGAAATCAGGCACATAGCACTTTAATAAGAAAACATATGTACTGTTTAAAAATTAAAAGTTACAGTGTTTTTGAGGCATGGTGGCAGTGTTTAGAGTGCAGTACTGCAGACTACTTCTGCTTCTACTGCTGCAATTTGGTAGTTCGAATGCCACCAGGCTCAAGGTTGACTCAGCCTTCCATTCTTCCGAGGTGGGTAAAATGAGGATCCAGATTGTTGGGGGCAATAGGCTGACTCTGCAAACTGCTTAAGAAAGGGCTGTAAAGCATTGTGAAGCAGTATATAAATCTAAGTGCTATTGCTAAGTTTACACAAGAATGAGCAAGAATATGATTGCACAGTCAAGAAAAAGTGCGGAAATCTATGATAAATTCAGAAAAGAATGTTAGAACAACAAATGTTCAAGAGACTTATAAAGCTCATTCAAACAAAATGGAAAGCCATAGTTTCTTGTTATGTGAGTTGTATGGTGACCCTTTATCTCACATATTTAAAGTTTCAAAAAAAAGAAACACTCTCTCCATAGCCTACTTTATATACAACCCCAAAATAATCTTTTCAATCCTAGTTCACTGAAAGCCATTAGGAGTTATAAGAAATATCAAACAAATAATTTATCCCTGGGCAAGTAGTCTAACTTTATATTCCTTCTTTTTGCTCTGCACAATCTTGACTTTTAAATCATTATTGTGTCATCACAGGATTTTATCTTTTATCACTCTTTGACTTTTAGGAATCCTTAAAGATTTTACCAGCTTACTTTGTAAACCCCATAAGAAACAGTCTGGGATTTCTTGTCAGAGCTGTTCCATGTCCAGATACTTTTTCTTGATTCATCTTTTGTATTCCCATTTTGGTAATGTCAATGTTGTAATCTGCCTTGAAATTCTACAATGTCTGTGTCATTTCTCATCATCTTCTGAAAACTAATTCATTGAAATATGTATCCTTTCTGAGATATTGGTTATTAATATTTTAGTAGATGTTTTTTTAAAAAAACTCTTAAAAATATAGAAATCTTAGTACTTAGCCATTTTAATTATTTTCTGCCCAATCCTTTAAATCCCTCATGTCTATTTGCAAACTTTATCAAGCCTCGATTCTTAACTAGGTTCATTTCAGTCATTTTATATGAATTTATTTTAGCAAATTTCTCTGGTCTCCTTTTTTAACCACCTCCCCTTTTTGCCAATTTGCCAAGTCTCCATTTAAAACTTATCGGGTGTCAAATTAAGTTTGCCATTTTGAAGTTTTCTAATATCCATAAATGGTTAAACTTAACATTTCTAAATGTGATTAGAAAATGAGTTAGGTTTGCTTCATGTCCTTATGAAAGTTCCTGCCGCTGCTGACAGCAAAGAGCTCCCGGCACTCAAGCCCACAGGAGACCCTTGTTTTAAGGTCTCCTTGTGAGGGGCTACCAATTAGAGAACCAATGGGCAATCTTTCTTTTTTTATTATTATTTTTCTTCTACAACACCTTACAGTCATTATATCAATATTATGTCATCATACCTGTACATGTAAATATTATTTCGCTTCTATGTTTATAAACCTTTATACACATTTCTCTCTCTCTCTCTCTCTCCCCCCCTCTCTCTCTCTCTCT